TATCTACAGTTATTCCAAGCTTTCCTTTTCTTCCACGTTCTTGCCCTTGCAATTGGACAACTTCGTTGCAATCACATGGAATGATATTTAATACACTGGACAATAACAATTGGAGAAAGAAAAGATTTCTCCTGTTGATACTAGAAAGAAAAATGTTACTAAAAATAAATCCACAGACAAATCCCTTCAAAATCAATCAACACTTAATAAAGTATTAACAAAATTGAACCTCTTCCAGCATATCTTGTCCAGTCAGAGGCAGTCCAAGAAGATATCTTCCTTGTCGAGCAAAACTAGCAAGAAGGGATAAATTTGTTTGGGTTGCATCACGATCCTTAAAATGTTCTGTGCCAGTGAGATCCTTAATGATATTTGTAAAGATGCTGCTATCTTCTACAACTCCGACAAAGTAAAGTTCCAATAGAAGTTTTAGTGTGCTCCACTTCTTCATGGCCTTCGAATTTTTGTCTCCATCTAAGTCCTCAGTGGACTTTCCAGGTAAGAAAATTTTCAAGAGGCCTTGAACCAGACTAGATGAGAAGTCTTTGTACCTTTGATGAAGTAAAGAGCAGATCTGATACAGGAAAAAATCTATTAAAAATAATGGAAAAGGGATCTTAAAATACAGTGGAGAGCAAGAGCATGTAATACACATGGTATATAACAATAGAACGTCCAGTAAATAAAAGGTACGTTTCTCTCTCTCTTGGCAAGCAAAGATTTCATTTACTTTGTGCCGACTGCTCCAATAACATCAAAGTAGATTCTAACTGCTATGTCAAAACCACACAATAGTTGCCATCGTTCCTTCCTTCAACTTGACAATAGTTGCCCATTCTCACATTTTAAACAGGGCAACTTGACAATAAATAAGAGAATGTCGAAATTTACTTTCATCTTTAAACATAATAGGATGAGTTCTTGAACCTCATAAAACACTGTTTTCCCGCATACTATTGTGATAGATAAAAGAGAATTTCACAACTGATAAATCTGAATACATTTAAGTACATAAAGTTTTCCATTTCTTTAAGGTAACATACTAGTAAACAATTGATTAGCATGGAACTTCCCAAAAGAAACACAATAAAAGCAAATTAAGTACAATCAAACAAAGCAATAATAGTACAATTCGATATAATAACTCAAGCACAGCCCCTCCTCCAAAAAGTCCATAACTTTAACCAAAATTAAGAACAGAGCATATATTGAAATGAATGAAAGATGAATGTGCCTCACCTGAAACCTCTAGTCTCGTTCTTGCTGCCACAACAAAAGTTCTACAAAAGAAAATCCATAGCCAGATTTGAGGAGAATCCATGGCAAAACTCAGATATTAAACCTTAAAAAGAACCAAATATCAATATTATAATCGAAACTCGTAGTCTATGTTGCTAAATCATAATAAGTACTACGAGCAGTAATATCTGTTCAAGATTAGAAACTTAAAGCCCTCGCCCTCGAGTAAACAACGAATCCACATTTTAGAAAGCCACAAAAACAGAGGTGGAATCAGCCAAGAAAACATATTAATACATCAAGAACCTAAAAGCCACAGCTTACAATTCCTAAGCTCTATGTAATTAAACACTACCACGATAGCCAATAACTTAAACCAAGTATTGAATTGAAATATAAATCACATTCTCCCATTCTGAACATTACAAATAAGGTTATGCATACGTACAGATCATGCTAAAAAATTCGGGTTCAATTCAATCAAGAACAGTATCACAATTCAAGGATCTAAATAGAGCAAATTCAAGTTCAATTCAATCAAGAAAAAAGTAACAGAGAAATCAAATCAACACAAAAGATAAAGCAAAAAAGGTTTTTAAAACATACAGTTCCTTTTCAATCAATTTTTATCAATCACGACCCACATTACATTTTACCTGTGAATTCGTCAAGGTCTGGTTGAAATTGGGCTTGACCCATGGTTTAGGAAGATGCACCAGGGGGAGAAGAGACCAACCCATGTGGTCCGCGACCATGGGTCGACCGGACGGCGCCAGAAATTGAAAAGTTCGGACTCTGTGTCGAAGGCTACGCGACTGGAGTTTCTTGAGTTTAATTCAGGATGTTGAAGTGTTGTTTGGAGTAAATTGATTCCATGTATGGAGTCATCTAAGGATGGGCAATCGACCGGTGGTAGTGCGCGACCTTGGCCGTCACTGAAGATGGAATTTCCGATAGAAACAATTGCGCAGATTGGTTTTTTGGGCTAAAATTTCTGCTAAATATAATGTTTTTTTGGCTGATTGTTGGTTGGAATTTGTAGAAGGCAATGAGGTTATGCTATTGGTGGTCGTTTCCGGTGGGTATAGTGACTGGAAGGTGGAGGAGTGAGTCTCCATAGACGGCGGCTCAGCAAGGAGAAAACAGGGGTCATGCTTCCATTTTTTTCCGGCTTTCCGCGTTTTGGGCGTTTTCCGCGTTTTGGCCCATTTTGCTTGAAAATG